CAGTGAAAGGAAAAGATCAGCTGAAAAATAATGATGTTGAAAACAACACGGTAATTAAACAATCGCTCTCTGCGTCGGGAAATCATTGAGGAAAATAGTACTGAAACTGTTCTCTCGGTATTTTCTGCTCTACTGCTGAGAGAGCCAAAAGCTGTCAACCTACCATGACTGAATACCACACACAGAAATTTTCCGTTATAATTTTCCCTTAACCAATTTCCCGCCTCTCTCGTCTCCCACCAAATTTGGACTCTTTTTTTCTACAGCGTATTTCTGTATGCATGGGATAAAATGAAGCCCGATCACTACGAAGACTGACATCAGGAGGAGGGAAATGGTAAATTACCACCCCATGCCTCAAAGAGACCTCAATTTTTCCACAAAACATCCTGGATTTTATTTGACTCTACCCTCACACACGCACATATTTTCGATGAATTTCCAGAGACAGAACAACGCTCACAACTTCCAACATTTCATCCGCCCTTTTCGCCCCAAAATTATCATCACATGTATTTCAGTTTCTCCACAGTGGAGAATCGTGACAATAAGAAAGCTTCTAAATCTAAAAACTCAGAGCGCATCTTGGCGCTTGACTGACAACAATCATCACGTAAGTGAAAACGCACCTGGTTCACAGAAAAAATTACATTCACCTTGAGGGAGATATCAAATTACTCAATACTGAACAAATCACAGGTTGAAAGATGATTAAAACACGAAAATAAAATAACCCATTAACAACTAGTACTGCAAGTTGATGGCAAGTAGGCAATAAAAACCAAAAATTACAAACCCCAATAATGAAATATCGTCCAGTGCAAGATAAGACTTTAAAGTGAAATGAAAAAACATGGAAATTTTGAGGAGCAATCACGTATACAGAAAATGAAATTTCAAAAGAAAGCAGATCAAGTCTGAATACAACACACGGCAAAGCTAGGACATCGATCTACACTCTTATTACAGAAAGTGGTTTAAAACATCGAGGATTCATGTATTAAGGAAATCGTACTACCAAAAAGAGAGAAACAAAAATATAAGTTTTTGAAGACTCTTACCAAGCTTGAAGCAAGAGGGGAGAGAGACGCCCCCTTCCCAGCAGAAACGTTTTCTGCAGCACAACCGGGCGGCGGCGGATGGGACAAGCGGCACGCCGCTCCGCTTTCTCGGCGCCCCGCCCGCGCCGGTCCGCCGCATCCTTCCTCCGGCTGACAGCACCGTGACTGAGGCTCGGGGAGGAGCTGCGGCCCTTCCGTGGCTCACGGCGCCTTCGCGGCCAACAGCGGCATCTGGTGTCCGACCGCGGCTCCTTCCGTGAGCCGCCGCCTGCTGCCCTCCTCTCGCTGCGGCTCCGTGCGGGGACGGACCTGCCGTGGCTCCGCCCGCTCAGCCAACGCGCTCCGAGATTTCCCTTCCGAACACTGCCTTCCCCCGCAGCGGTAATAGTTGGTCCTTTTGTATCCCCTTTCTCTCCTCCTGTTTCTCTTCTCCTTCCTTAAGGCACTTTAACTGAGAAGCACTATTGCCAAAATGTACCTATAATGGGACGCCCATATTAACGCGGGAGTCATACCTAGGAATATCTTCACTGCATAAAGCCTACCCCACTTCTGATCTCCAGACTTCATCCGTGACTGAGGCTCGGGGCGGAGCTGCGGCCCTTCCGTGGCTCCCGGCGCCTTCGCGGCCAACAGCGGCATCTGGTGTCCGACCGCGGCTCCTTCCGTGAGCCGCCGCCTGCTGCCCTCCTCCCGCTGCGGCTCCGTGCGGGGATGGACCTGCCGTGGCTCCGCCCGCTCAGCCAACGCGCTCCGAGATTTCCCTTCCGAACACTGCCTTCCTCCGCAGCGGTAATAGGTGGTGCTTTTGTCTCCTCTTTCTCTTCTCCTTCCTTAAAGCACTTTAATTGAGAAGCACTATTGCCAAAATGTACCTATAATGGGACACCCATATTAACGCGGGAGTCATACCTAGGATTATCTTCACTGCATAAAGCCTACCCCACTTCTGATCTCCAGACTTCATCTTCTCTTATGCCTGAGGAGGCATAACTCAATTTTCTCATTTATGTTTTCTTTCAGAAGATACTTCAGCTGGTTCCTCTACCGAAGTAGACTGGATCTTCAATGTACCTGCCGTGGCTCCGCCCGCTCAGCCAACGCGCTCCGAGATTTCCCTTCCGAACACTGCCTTCCTCCGCAGCGGTAATAGGTGGTGCTTTTGTCTCCTCTTTCTCTTCTCCTTCCTTAAAGCACTTTAATTGAGAAGCACTATTGCCAAAATGTACCTATAATGGGACACCCATATTAACGCGGGAGTCATACCTAGGATTATCTTCACTGCATAAAGCCTACCCCACTTCTGATCTCCAGACTTCATCTTCTCTTATGCCTGAGGAGGCATAACTCAATTTTCTCATTTATGTTTTCTTTCAGAAGATACTTCAGCTGGTTCCTCTACCGAAGAAGACTGTATCCTCGATCTTCCATCTGTAGAAAGCACTCAGGTCTTCAGAAGACATAGATTCACATGTAATGTACTTGGTCAAGTCCAGAAATGCTAGAAAATAATAGAAATTGCTTACCTTTTCATGGCTTTGTGACAGAGATGTAGCTGAGAAATTCCACACAGTCTCCTTGATTTTTTTTTGTAGATTAAATAATACAGTACACCCATCATATGGCAAAGAATACATGTGTCTGTCCATGGCAGAATTGTTTTGCCTTCCGAAGTGTATTTCCAACCGAGTAAAGCATCAGCAAATACCAATTCCAAAGGCTTTCAAATCCCTCAGCGACTCCCTAACTCTATTCTCTAAACATTCTGACAGAGCAGAAATCCTCTCAGAAGGGTGAAATAGCTCAAGGAACCTGAATTCTCTCATCTTTATGTATTGGTACTTTCTCTAAGTTTTATCCCCCAAGTGTAGCTGCACAATGAAGATCAAGGTCTTGGTTATAATTTTTAGGCATGTAGAAACTCACACTACGGCAAAGCCATGTGCCCATTACTGATGGAGATGAGCTGCTGCAGGACACAACAGAATCATTCAACCACAACACAACTGAAGATGAGATAAAAGGCTTGCACCACTGTTCTGGCAAGGCACAGTTCATCTCATAGCAGGTTCCCAGGCTCCCACCTCATCTACTGGCATAAATACATCAGAGCCTCTTCTCTACACAGGTACAGCACTTTCTGCTGCCCCGTCCTGTAGGCCAGGCAGTAATATAAACCAGGGAATTTCACAGATTAGTGAGTTGCTGGTTCTACCACAGGAGGAATCAACGATGCATGCACCCAAAGGTAAAGAACGACAACAAAAAAGGAACATACAAAACGCTAAAAAAGTCCATGTGGGTCTGTCAACAGATATTTTTAATTACATATGTTGCTATTCTAACTGTTGTCTTGATTTATTTCTAGGTTTCCATTGTCAGTCCTGTGTTCAAGGATCACTGTTCAAAATTTCAGGGAAGCAGGGCTGAAAAAGCAAACAGGTTTTTTTCCATTCTCTCAAATCCCTGCTGTATTGCCAACATTTCTGTAACCATTTCTATGAAGGCAGAAACAAATGAAACCTGTCACCTTTGCAAACTTTCTCTCAAAATATTACTGACCTTAAGAGACTACAAGACAGTAAACCACAGTGATGGCAAACGGCACAGACTCTGAAATAAAAGACCATTATTTGGCAGCATGGCTTTCATTCACAATTGCCAACACATCTCCTGATAAAATCAAACTAAATCACTCTGGAAATCGGGAGTTTCAAGAATCATCCATCTCCGTATTCACATGATTATCATAAGGCAAGCACACAATGAGAAAAAAAAATCAGTTTATTTTAAAACTATTCTCAGGGAAGGGAAAAACAAAATTAAATCAAGTAATCACAAATAAGATAATGTTAAAACTCTACAACATCCTAGAAATACAATGCCTATGACTGCTGTGTACATGGGACTACCCAAGTCAGAAACCAAACTGAGGTGCTTCTACAAATATATTAATGCACCAAAACCAAGTCCTCTACCAATATGTTTTCCTCAGTCTAGCACTACAGCTGCACATTTTGGCATCTACTTTGGTTTGTGTTCTTCTGCATTTAAGTACCATACATTAGAAAGAGCATTTCAATCATACTTAAAAGGGGGAAGTGTGAAATGCATCTCTTTTCATGTCCATAGTAATTCTGTAGTACTTCACAAACTAATATATGCCATGCATGGTGAAGAGGTTGGAACTTTATATATAGATTTTTGTTTCAAAGGTGAATCAAAGAGGAGGACAGACTTCTGTGTAAGAAAAGACTGGAAATCAGCAATTCACAGCAGTCAAAAGCAAGAAATTCATTAGAAATGCCCCCCTGTAAGACAGGGAAATATGGGCAAGTGAAGATACTCCACTGAAAATGAGAGAGTGAAAGAGGCACTCAGACTTCTGATTAATGCCACAGATAAAAGAAAAACAGACCTGATAACACCAGCAAGACAAGGCAAACACTGCAGTCAGGCAGAAATCTTTATCAATAATTGTTCCATTTAATAGCTCATGAGGGGATCTCAGAATGTCATGAACAGTGATGTATCAAAGATTAGAGGAGATATCACCTTATGGAGCAGAGTTCAAATACAGGTCAGCAGAAAAAACTGCAGAAAGAGTTGATTACTCTGAAGACGTAGGTAGGAAGCTGGCAAAATATTTTCACTGCAGGGGACTGTAAAGCTGAGTAGGCAAGAAAAAGATGTGGCTTCAAGACAGATGGCAATTGATTCTGAAACAGCCACTGAAGGTTCTAAAATTACAAAATAGAGAAGATAGTGACATAGAGAAGAATTTCATTCTCATTGCCATCAAAGAGGCAAGACTCGTGAGACGCTGCAAGACAAAAGAGGTATTTCATTCAACTTTGCACCGAGGGCAGCAAAATTTAAGTATTTTGCAGAGCTCCCTTTGTTATTACGATAAGAGGAAGAGAGAAGATAACAGCGGCATCAAAAACCTGCTGCGATGTAAAGCACTACAGCCACTGAAGACGAGGGGTAATACAACCAGCACTCACAGGATAAAGGACCATGAAACACGGAACGCCCCGGCACCGCGAGGGCGGAGCTCGGCTCCAGGCAGACACTGTCCGGGAGGCGGGGGAGAGGGGACAGAGCAAGAAATGCCGGCCACACCCAGCACCGCACGCGCCCGTTCTCCCCCGAGTCCCGGTCCGACACGCTCAGCAGGGCCACCACCGTCCCCACCGACGCGTCCTCCGCCACCGGCACCGACAGCGACGTCACCCACACCTCGGGCGCGTTGTCGTTCACGTCCAGCACCTTCAGCTCCACGCTGCAGTGGCCCGACAGCGGGGGTGTCCCTTTATCTGTGGCTTCGATTTGCAATTCATGTAAACTAACGCCTTCGAAGTCCAACGTACCCTTTAGTCTGATGTCGCCAGTCTTGGTGTCAATGGTGAAGAGTTCTTTATTACCGATAGGAGTTGAACTCAAGATGTTGTAAGAAAACTGTTTATTGCTTCCTTCGTCTGGATCTGTGGCATTCACACGTGCTACGAAGTTCGGATTAATGGAAATCACATCTTTTCCACTCGGGGGAATGAAGTTCGTCACGGCATAGGTCACTTCACTGTTAATTCCCTCGTCCGCATCCGTGGCATTTACCCTCGTAACCAGTGTCCCCACTGCAGCGCTCTCCAGCAGCTGCACTTTATACACCGACTGGTTGAACTGGGGCGCGTTGTCATTCGCATCCACCACCGAGATCACCAGCTCCATGGTGCCCGTCAGAGACGGCCGGCCCCCGTCACTCGCTGTCAGCACCAACCGGTGCACGGGAATCGTCTCGCGGTCTAAAGACTTTGCAAGTACCAGAAACAGAGACTTCCTGTTTTCATCAGACGATTTAACATCGAGTGTAAAATATTCGCTGGGGCTGAGTGTATAGGAGAGCTGCGCATTCGCTCCCCTCGCAGCTGTAGAGCCCCACGCGGAACAGGCCCTTGCCCCGCGGCGCCCACAGCTCGTAGCGCAGCCACGCGTTGTAGCCCGAGTCGGCGTCCACGGCGCGGATCTTGGCCACCACCTGCCCCGCCGGCGCCCCCCACGCCGCCCACGCCCACAGCGTGCCCGACCCCGAGCCCGCCCCCACGCCCGCCGCCGCCGTCTCGGCCGCCACGGCTCCCGCCTCCGGGGCCGAGCCCGCGGCCGGCAGCAGCGCCGGCGCGTTGTCGTTCTCGTCCAGCACGAAGAGCTGCACCGTGGCGTTGCCGCTCAGCGGCGGCTCCCCCGCGTCCACCGCGCGCACCTCGAACTGCAGCACCTGCAGCTCCTCGTAGTCCAAGGGCTGCAGCGCCCACAGGCGCCCGCTCTCCGCGTCCACCGACACGTAGCTCGACGCCGGACGCCACCCGCCGCCCGACCACGACGACGACGACCCCGCGGCCCCGCCGCCGCCGCCCACGCCGCCCTCCCACAGCGAGTAGCTGACGCGCCCGTTGCCCGCCTCGTCCGGGTCCCGCGCCCACAGCCGCGCCAGCTCCGCGCCCGCCGCGTTGTTCTCCCGCGCCAGCACCGTGTACACGGCCTGCGCGAAGGCGGGCGCGTTGTCGTTCACGTCCGACACCGGCACCCGCAGCCCGCGGCTGGCGCGCAGCGCCGGCGCCCCGCCGTCCTCCGCCCGCACCTCCACCTCGTACTCCGACACCCGCTCCCGGTCCAGCGCCTCGCGCAGCACCAGCGAGTACGAGCCCGCGAACGTCGCCTCCAGACCGAACGGCGACGCCGGCCACACCCAGCACCGCACGCGCCCGTTCTCCCCCGAGTCCCGGTCCGACACGCTCAGCAGGGCCACCACCGTCCCCACCGACGCGTCCTCCGCCACCGGCACCGACAGCGACGTCACCCACACCTCGGGCGCGTTGTCGTTCACGTCCAGCACCTTCAGCTCCACGCTGCAGTGGCCCGACAGCGGGGGTGTCCCTTTATCTGTGGCTTCGATTTGCAATTCATGTAAACTAACGCCTTCGAAGTCCAACGTACCCTTTAGTCTGATGTCGCCAGTCTTGGTGTCAATGGTGAAGAGTTCTTTATTACCGATAGGAGTTGAACTCAAGATGTTGTAAGAAAACTGTTTATTGCTTCCTTCGTCTGGATCTGTGGCATTCACACGTGCTACGAGTGTCCCCTCTGTAGCGTTCTCCGGTACCTGCACTTTATACACCGACTGGTTGAACTGGGGCGCGTTGTCATTCGCATCCACCACCGAGATCACCAGCTCCATGGTGCCCGTCAGAGACGGCCGGCCCCCGTCACTCGCTGTCAGCACCAACCGGTGCACGGGAATCGTCTCGCGGTCTAAAGACTTTGCAAGTACCAGAAACAGAGACTTCCTGTTTTCATCAGACGATTTAACATCGAGTGTAAAATATTCGCTGGGGCTGAGTGTATAGGAGAGCTGCGCATTCGCTCCGATATCCGCATCCGCCGCGCCCTCCAGTGGGAAACGAGACCCCAGCACAGATAATTCCGCGATGCTGAGGTTCTTTCGTTCGGCGGGGAAGACGGGGGCATTGTCGTTGATGTCGGTGACCTCCAGCTGCACATGGAAGACGCGCAGCGGCCGCTCCAGCAGCACCTCCAGGCGCAGCGCGCACGGCGCGCTCTTGCCGCACAGCTCCTCCCGGTCGAGCCGCGAGCTCACCAGCAGCGCGCCGCTCGCCCCGCTCACCTCCACGCTCGCCCGCCGGCCCGGAGCCACCAGCCGCAGCCGCCGCGCCTCCGCCTCGCCCGCCTCCAGGCCCAGGTCCTGCGCCAGACGGCCCACCACCGTGCCGGCCTTGGCTTCCTCCGCCACCGAGTAGCGCACCTGCCCGCCCGCCAGCGCCCAGGCCAGCGCCTGCAGCACCAGCACCCGCAGCACCGCCGCACACCACCGCTCGCCCATCCTCCCTGCCGCCGCTGCCGCTCTCGCCGCTCTTGCCGCTGTGGCTGCCGGCCCCGGCCCGGGCCCCGCACGGCTCCCCGCCGCCGCCCGGACGCACCGGCTCTGCTGCCCGGCCCGCGCCGCCCCCCCGCGCTCACAGCCGGGCTCTCCGCCGCACCGGGGCGGAGCCGCCCGCACCGAGCCGTTCCTGAGCCTGCAGCGACACCGTGCGCTGCTCCGCCACCGCACACCCATGGCAATAGCAGCCGTGCCGCTGCCTCGGATGGTCATATCCGTCAGAGACGGCCGGCCCCCGTCACTCGCCGTCAGCACCAACCGGTGCACGGGAATCGTCTCGCGGTCCAGAGATTTCGTGAGTACCAGAAACAGGGATTTACTCCGAGAGTTACTGTTTTCTTCCTCTATTCTAAAATGCTCGCTGGGGCTGAGTGTGTAGGAGAGCTGCGCGTTCGCTCCGATATCCGCATCCGACGCGCCCTCCAGCGGGAAACGAGACCCCGGCAGAGTGGTGAATTCCGCGATGCTGAGGTTCTTTCGGGCGGCGGGGAAGACGGGGGCATTGTCGTTGATGTCGGTGACCTCCAGCTGCACATGGAAGACGCGCAGCGGCCGCTCCAGCAGCACCTCCAGGCGCAGCGCGCACGGCGCGCTCTTGCCGCACAGCTCCTCCCGGTCGAGCCGCGAGCTCACCAGCAGCGCGCCGCTCGCCCCGCTCACCTCCACGCTCGCCCGCCGGCCCGGAGCCACCAGCCGCAGCCGCCGCGCCTCCGCCTCGCCCGCCTCCAGGCCCAGGTCCTGCGCCAGACGGCCCACCACCGTGCCGGCCTTGGCTTCCTCCGCCACCGAGTAGCGCACCTGCCCGCCCGCCAGCGCCCAGGCCAGCGCCTGCAGCACCAGCACCCGCAGCACCGCCGCACACCACCGCTCGCCCATCCTCCCTGCCGCCGCTGCCGCTCTCGCCGCTCTTGCCGCTGTGGCTGCCGGCCCCGGCCCGGGCCCCGCACGGCTCCCCGCCGCCGCCCGGACGCACCGGCTCTGCTGCCCGGCCCGCGCCGCCCCCCCGCGCTCACAGCCGGGCTCTCCGCCACACCGGGGCGGAGCCGCCCGCACCGAGCCGTTCCTGAGCCTGCAGCGACACCGTGCGCTGCTCCGCCGCCGCACACGCCACAGCCACAGCACCCTCCGTCATGGCTGGCTTCTCTGCTGGTTTTTCTTACAGTGCTCCTTTTAGATTTTATCCTTTGGACTTTTTCCGCTGCTCTCTTCTTACCCCTTCTGCTATCTCGTCAGTCGCCTCCGGAGCCAGCAGCAATAACAAGCCGGATTTACGAGCTCGACTTACGTGGCATTAGCGTCGGAACGCGGAGTATTGTAACCGAGATGGACGCCCTTGAGAAGCAGCTCCACCCAGCGAATAGAGGTAAGGTCGTTGCGAACTGCTCATCTCTTTTGCTGTTGTTTTCTTTTTCCTCTTTCTCATCTCCCATTCTTAATTACTTTCTTGCATAATTCCTTCATAGCATCTTCTTTCTCTTCTGTTACTTATTTTATGTCCTCCTTTCGTGCTCTCCTCCTTTTCTGCGTACAGTGAGAATATTTGTGACATACCAGTAAATTTGTCCATATGTGAGTCCTTCCTTCCTTCCTTCCTTCCTTCCTTCCTTCCTTCCTACACACATACTCTTCTCTCGTTGTCATTCGCATCCTCCACCGAGATCACCAGCTCCATTGTCCCCGTCAGAGACGGCCGGCCCCCGTCACTCGCCGTCAGCACCAACCGGTGCACGGGAATCGTCTCGCGGTCCAGAGATTTCGTGAGTACCAGAAACAGGGATTTACTCCGAGAGTTACTGTTTTCTTCCTCTATTCTAAAATGCTCGCTGGGGCTGAGTGTGTAGGAGAGCTGCGCGTTCGCTCCGATATCCGCATCCGACGCGCCCTCCAGCGGGAAACGAGACCCCGGCAGAGTGGTGAATTCCGCGATGCTGAGGTTCTTTCGGGCGGCGGGGAAGACGGGGGCATTGTCGTTGATGTCGGTGACCTCCAGCTGCACATGGAAGACGCGCAGCGGCCGCTCCAGCAGCACCTCCAGGCGCAGCGCGCACGGCGCGCTCTTGCCGCACAGCTCCTCCCGGTCGAGCCGCGAGCTCACCAGCAGCGCGCCGCTCGCCCCGCTCACCTCCACGCTCGCCCGCCGGCCCGGAGCCACCAGCCGCAGCCGCCGCGCCTCCGCCTCGCCCGCCTCCAGGCCCAGGTCCTGCGCCAGACGGCCCACCACCGTGCCGGCCTTGGCTTCCTCCGCCACCGAGTAGCGCACCTGCCCGCCCGCCAGCGCCCAGGCCAGCGCCTGCAGCACCAGCACCCGCAGCACCGCCGCACACCACCGCTCGCCCATCCTCCCTGCCGCCGCTGCCGCTCTCGCCGCTCTTGCCGCTGTGGCTGCCGGCCCCGGCCCGGGCCCCGCACGGCTCCCCGCCGCCGCCCGGACGCACCGGCTCTGCTGCCCGGCCCGCGCCGCCCCCCCGCGCTCACAGCCGGGCTCTCCGCCACACCGGGGCGGAGCCGCCCGCACCGAGCCGTTCCTGAGCCTGCAGCGACACCGTGCGCTGCTCCGCCGCCGCACACGCCACAGCCACAGCACCCTCCGTCATGGCTGGCTTCTCTGCTGGTTTTTCTTACAGTGCTCCTCTTCTTACCCCTTCTAGTATCCCGTCAGTCGCCTCCGGAGCCAGCAGCAATAACAAGCCGGATCTACGAACTCGACTTACATGGCATTAGCGTCGGACCGCGGAGTATTGTAATCGAGGCAGACGCTCTTGAGAAGCAGCTCCACCCAGCGAATAGAGGTAAGGTCGTTGCGAACTGCTCATCTCTTTTGCTGTTGTTTTCTTTCTCCTCTTTCTCATCTCCCATTCTTAATTACCTTCTTGCATAATTCCTTCATAGCATCTTCTTTCTCTTCTGTTACTTATTTTATGTCCTCCTTTCGTGCTCTCCTCCTTTTCTGCGTACAGTGAGAATATTTGTGACATACCAGTAAATTTGTCCATATGTGAGTCCTTCCTTCCTTCCTTCCTTCCTTCCTTCCTTCCTTCCTTCCTTCCTTCCTTCCTTCCTTCCTTCCTTCCTTTCACTGTCCTTATGCACACACATACTCTTCTCTCTTCTTTATCTCCATTACCAACATATTTTTCCATTACTTCACTCTCCCATGAAGCACAAACACGCCGTTGGTGACAGATCTCATTGCTCTCCGTTGTCGTCTTTCATCTCTCCACTCAAGAAACAAACCTGCTCACTTCAAGTCTGTGCCGCACTGACAGAGTGCTCTTTCACCTCACCTTCTGGAAGGAAACCACACTCTTCAGCCTCCATTCTCTCAAGGGAGAGAATTGACAGCCCTCTGAAACACAGGTCCAATCCCTAGGTACTTTGTTTGACATTAGTGTAAACAGACTTGACTAAGCAAAAACAACCCAGCAAATCTTCTTCAGGAACTCAAAGCCATCAAGGCCCAGCACATCAACCTTTCCTGAATGCTCAAAAAAAATATGGAACAACCACAGCTTCCAAATACTGTCCATATACTTCGATGAAGAGCTATTCTTCACACCTCATTTGCCACCTGCATGCTGAATGTAAATTTCTGGTTTCATATTTCAGGCAGGCCAGCACAGTCAGGAACACACAGCAAGAACGTCCATCCCCAGCGGCATAGTCCCCGTGGAATGCCTCTGTGTAGCCTGATCCACGGGGTAAAGGCAACAACATCATTTTATCTGTGTCAATTTCTCTGAGAACACATCCTCGACTCCCAGCACATCCACTCTGAGAAATGTGTTAGGGTCTCTCCTTCATCCGTGCTTGCTGTTATTTGCTGATACTGAGTCTGGAGAAAGAAGATAGGAATGAGAGGAGGCAGTGGTGCTCTGCTGATCCAGTAAAGGAGTCACAGAACATTTCAAACTGGAAGGTACCCATAAGGATCATCAAGTCCAAATCCAGGCACATTTGGTCAATCCAAAATGAAGATACCATGACTAAAGATGTATAAGGATACAACTGTATTTCAGACTCATCTTCTTTAGGTAGCAGGAACTTACCTGAAGCAACTCTGGCTCCTTCTTCAGAAAATATTTACTTTCAGGGGAGGGAATTGGTTCTGAAGAACATTTTCTTTTAATGTTATCAGAGTTTTCTGGGGGACATGAATAGGAGAAAATGACCCACATTCTGCAAAAGCCTCTAAATCACTGAACAGAGCAAAATGCTCCTTCATGCACTTTTATAACATGTTAAGTGGGAGAGTTTCTGCAAATCTCAGGACATTCTCCCAACCTCAGCCTCAGCTTAGAAGACTGGAAAATCCATCCCTCATACTGATAGTTAGCTGCTGGAAACTCAGCTACCTGACAGCCACCAAGATTCAACAGTCTGTATTTCATCCACTGTTACCAACACATGGCCAATGCAAAAGAAGAAAAAAGCAAAAAAAAGTTGGAATGTTTTGGTAAAAAGAGAGAAGAAAACTAGAAGGTCCTATTCCACTGTATCAAAATGCCAGGTCAGACAACTTCTTGGTTATGGACAGAAGTTTTCCCACTCCCTATCAAGACAAGAGCAGAGATGTAAACAAGGAGAGCTTCAGAGAAGGCTGGCCAAGCAAGACTGATATTTAGAAAAGCTGCTGTTTCACCAACACCATATTTTCAAAAGCAAGTGATCCAAGTTTTGTATGGAAGATGTGTATGGCCAGAAGAGCATGAAGAATACCAAGGATACACAGGACTTCAGAAGGACCTGGAAGGATCCCAGGCAAGCAAACCAGGGCGACAGGTGTCTTCACAAGGTTTTCCAGTGGAATCCTCTATCCCAAGCTCTGGGAAATGAATCTCCAGCCAAGCAGCTGGAGCTTTTCTCCCCCAGTGATAGTGCTTATGCTACACAGCATCTCCGTTTCCTCAGTAAAGAAACTTCTCCACTCAAAGTCACCCTCCCCATGACAGAGGGCCCAAGCAGTACACCATGCCACTTAGAGGATTACAGCTGTAGCAGCCAAACTGCCCCACCCAACCAGCTTGCCCCAGCAATAAAACCCACCTGAGCATGATCCAGGCCTTTGCACATCCCCACCTTCCCTTACAATTGGCACAAAGAACTTATGAAGGGATGCAAAACCACAAAATTTCTGGCAGACTGTGAAATTCACCATAAATGTGAAACTCTTTTCCGGCAATCTCAGACAGAAACACCATAGAGCTACACATTAGAGATGTTTAAAATTCTGTGGTCAGAGTGACAGCTCTGATCCTGATCCAGATTCATTTTATTTTGAGAGAACCACACCAAATGCTGAAGCACAAGCACAGTTAAACTGTGGGGGAGAATTTCTATGATGACATCAGGGCTGGGCTGCTCTGCAGGGCGTTGTGTGGCCATGCAAGTATCAGGGTTAAGCACGACGAGGCAACACCCAATTTCTACTGAGGCTGACCCTGCAAGTGCTCAAGCAGGAGAGATGAGGCACACACAGGTTATACTCTCTTCCTCATCACATCCTCTTGCAAATCCCACTTGACAAGCAGCAAGGACCCATCATAGCAAAATCAGCAGCTGAGGAAGCTGCTATAGACGTGCACCCCTACACAAGGACTTCAGCAAGCTGAAGTCCTCCCCTCCACAATGCCTTCCTCAAAATATGAGGGAAGTGGGTTCATCAAACAATTTTCAGCATTGCATTTCCTCTTACCAACACATTCTATACAACAATGATGTATCAGCACAAACCTCTTTCTGTTTCGGGAGAACTTCATCACCTCAAAGGATTTTGTGGTCATTTCAATACCACACAGCAACTCAAGGTCCACAAGGCCTCCAGCTCCAGGACCTTAGAGTCTTGCAAAGGATGCCAGGCAGAAGTACTCTGTGTCCATCCTGCCTCACAGTTTTCTCTAGGGATCCTTCATTCATCACTCTGGGAGATGAGTTCTCAACCACATCATGACTCATTCTTGTCTTAAGACATGGCCCATGGCCTTCTCAATGAATCCCACCTTCCTCAGGTAGCTCTTCTGCTCAAGATCACATCACAACAAATCTGGGCCTAACCCTGCCACTGCCACACTCACTTTAGTAAATACGCTACAGTTTCATTCTGTTACAGAACGGGAAAAAAGTACAAGGGCAAAGTTGATAGTAAAGTCCATACTGTCTTTCCTACTTTCTTAATGAGCCTGAAGGTGGAACCTAAATGCAGAATTGTTGTTTCCATACGGAATCAAATAGCTGAAGTCCCAAATGTAATTTTGTGTCACATCTCATGCAAGGAAAATGAAAGAGGACAGTTTTCAATAATAATCCAGACCTAATACCAATATGGTCAGAAGCCACCAAAGGCATAAGTCAATACAAAGTGATTGGGGGACTGTCACCACCCCGGGTTTTCTTCTATTCCTGCACCAAGCGGCATTTAAACCCTTCACGCAAAAAAGTAAGAAAGTTGCCTGCAAAGCTGCCACCTCGGGACACCTCTCACTGCAATAGGCAGAGATTTCATTCTAGGGCAACACTCCTGTCCAGCGCAGCAAGGCTCAGATGCGGATGGTAAATGCTCTGGAGTGCCATAATACCTTATTTCTGCTTCCACGCACCAAGAAATTGCAAAATCAGGGAAGGACAAGGCCGAGGATGGAAATGTGCCTTTAATGTCCTTAAACAGCGACTGCCCTCAGGCTGCGGGGGCGGAGCCTCGCTACAGGCAACAACTACCCAGGCAGCGGGAGAGAACGGGCGGAGGAGAAAAGAGGCGGCGAAGGAGAGAAGCTAACAAGGCAGTGCCACTGACCGTGTCGAGGAGAGCAGAGGACTCCGGCTGCGTGTCCTTGGGCGCGGGGCCGGGCGGCGGCGGAGGGGGGAAGTTGGGGCTGAAAACCATGAGGTCGCTCTTGGCGGCGCCGTCGGCCACGCACAGGCTCCGGCTGTGGCGCTGCGAGTACGACCAGCTGCCCACTTCGCTGGCGCACACGAGCGTGGTGGGCCCGGGCCCCGAGAGCACGGCCGCCCGCGGCGCCCAGCGCGACGCCCCGTACAGCACCACGGCCAGCAGGAACAGGCTGGACACGGCGCAGATGGCCACCACCAGCCACACGTTGGTGGCCGCGCTCGCCGCCCCGGGCCCCAGCTCCACGCCCACGGCCGAGCGCGACGGCGACGCCGACGACGAGGATCCCGCGGCCAGCGCCGCCTCGGCCGCCTCGAGCAGCGACACGCTGAGCGTGGCCGTGGCCGAGCGCGCCGGCTCGCCGTGGTCGCGCACGACGATCAGCAGCCTCTGGCGAGGCCCGTCTGCCTCGTCCAGCACCCGCGCCGTGCTCACCTCGCCGCTGTAGAGCCCCACGCGGAACGGGCCCTTGCCCCGCGGCTCCCCGCCGCCCTCCCACAGCGAGTAGCTGACGCGCCCGTTGCCCGCCTCGTCCGGGTCCCGCGCCCACAGCCGCGCCAGCTCCGCGCCCGCCGCGTTGTTCTCCCGCGCCAGCACCGTGTACACGGCCTGCGCGAAGGCGGGCGCGTTGTCGTTCACGTCCGACACCGGCACCCGCAGCCCGCGGCTGGCGCGCAGCGCCGGCGCCCCGCCGTCCTCCGCACGCACCTCCACCTCGTACTCCGACACCCGCTCCCGGTCCAGCGCCTCGCGCAGCACCAGCGAGTACGAGCCCGCGAACGTCGCCTCCAGACCGAACGGCGACGCCGGCCACACCCAGCACCGCACGCGCCCGTTCTCCCCCGAGTCCCGGTCCAACACGCTCAGCAGGGCCACCACCGTCCCCACCGACGCGTCCTCTGCCACCGGCACCGACAGCGACGTCACCCACACCTCCGGCGTGTTGTCGTTCACGTCCAGCACCTCCAGCACCACCTTGCAGTGACCCGACAGTGGAGGTGTCCCCTTGTCTGTCGCCCTAATATTTAGGTCGTATAAGTTAACCACCTCGAAGTCCAGCGCGCCCTTCAGTCTGATCTCCCCTGTGTTCGCATCAATGCTGAACAAATCTGAGCCAGAGGGAGGAACAACTGTATCGATTTCATATTTCACATCTCTGTTACTTCCTTCATCCAGGTCCGTGGCATTCATCTGCGCCACGAGCGTGCCTTGTATGGCGTCCTCAGACAAATGTACATTATACACAGACTGGTTGAACTGGGGCGCGTTGTCGTTCGCATCCAGCACCGAGATCACCAGCTCCATGGTCCCCGTCAAAGACGGCCGGCCCCCGTCACTCGCCGTCAGCACCAACCGGTGCACGGGAATCGTCTCGCGGTCCAGAGCTTTCGTGAGTACCAGATACAGGGACTTAGTGCGAGAGTTACTGCTTTCTTCCTCTATTCTAAAATGCTCGCTGGGGCTGAGTGTGTAGGAGAGCTGCGCATTCACTCCGATATCCTCATCCGACGCGCCCTCCAGCGGAAAACGAGACCCCGGCAGAGTGGTCAGTTCCGCGATGCTGAGGTTCTTTCGGGCGGCGGGGAAGACGGGGGCATTGTCGTTGATGTCGGTGACCTCCAGCTGCACATGGAAGACGCGCAGCGGCCGCTCCAGCAGCACCTCCAGGCGCAGCGCGCACGGCGCGCTCTTGCCGCACAGCTCCTCCCGGTCGAGCCGCGAGCTCACCAGCAGCGCGCCGCTCGCCCCGCTCACCTCCACGCTCGCCCGCCGGCCCGGAGCCACCAGCCGCAGCCGCCGCGCCTCCGCCTCGCCCGCCTCCAGGCCCAGGTCCTGCGCCAGACGGCCCACCACCGTGCCGGCCTTGGCTTCCTCCGCCACCGAGTAGCGCACCTGCCCGCCCGCCAGCGCCCAGGCCAGCGCCTGCAGCACCAGCACCCGCAGCACCGCCGCACACCACCGCTCGCCCATCCTCCCTGCCGCCGCTGCCGCTCTCGCCGCTCTTGCCGCTGTGGCTGCCGGCCCCGGCCCGGGCCCCGCACGGCTCCCCGCCGCCGCCCGGACGCACCGGCTCTGCTGCCCGGCCCGCGCCGCCCCCCCGCGCTCACAGCCGGGCTCTCCGCCGCACCGGGGCGGAGCCGCCCGCACCGAGCCGTTCCTGAGCCTGCAGCGACACCGTGCGCTGCTCCGCCGCCGCACACGCCACAGCGACAGCGCCTCTGCCTCCGCTCCGTCATGGCTGGCTCCTCTGTCGTCTCTTCTTACAGTGCTCCTTTTATTTTTTATCCTTTGGACTTTTTCCGCTGCTCTCTTCTTACCCCGTCTGGTATCTCGTCAGTTGCCTCTGGAGCCACACTGCAAACAAAAGTATTTGGATCCACCAACTCTAATTACGTGGTATCAGCGCTGGAATGCAGAATTCTAACCGAGGCAGAGGGTGTTGGCAATTACCTCCGGCCAACACTTTGAGGCAACGTCCGTGCGTAATACTGTTTTAAATTTCTCCTTTTTGTCATCTTCCATTCCCAATTATCTCCTTGTGGCATTATTTTATAGCATGTTATTTCTGTTTTTCTTTCTTATCTGGCTTTCCTTCTCTTTTTCTCTTCTTTGTCACCTTCTTCTCTTTTCGTACAGAGTGGCAGTATTGGTGACGTGCCAGTAAAGTCATTTATAGTTTGTCCCTTTCTGTTTCTCTTCTTCTACTACTTTCTTCTTACCTTCTCTTTATCTATATCCATCTTTGCTTTCTTCATTGCACTCTTCTTGCTTTCAATTTTCTTCCATTTCCATCCTCTGTTCACTTTTCCCTTACCAAGAAGGGAATTGCCTTACCATCTCTACAACATTCTTGACGTGGTGTAGCGACACATTTTTTGTAAAAAATTATAATTTCTCTTCCCTTCTGTCTGCAAGGAAGTGTTCAGTGAAGGCATGGCAGTATGATCCAAATTTCAAACAGCTTCTCATAGACAAATATTCCACATCAAAACCAAGTAATTAAAGGCACGAAGGGTAGATATCTTCACAAGTAGCAATACCAGAAAGAACAGTGCCCTAAGATATGCAGAACTTCTGGATGTCCTGATAGGATTCCAGAAGAGCAGCACTGTCTGGTGGGGTCCTTCTCATGATATTCTACTGTGATCCTGTATCTTACACCCTGGGAACTGGGATCTCTGCAGTTAAGCAGACATTCTGTATTCCCTCCCCAAACCCTATTTAAATTCTGTCCTTCCCCCATGGCTGTCACAAATATAGAGCATGCTGCAAATCCATTCTCTGAATCTTTGACTTTTCCCCCATGCCAGGATGCTTTGTACCTTCTCAGCAATAGCAGATACAAACAGAGTTCTGAAACGTTCTGTGATTAGAGTCGTGAACAATACTGATTCCAATCCCCACAGATCTTCTTCTTCAAGAGATCACACCAAGAGCACAAATGCACTCAAAATGTTAACCGGATGAGAGAATTTCAAGAATAGAAAACCAGAGTTGGACTGCTCTGTACATGTAGAGGTTTGGTGTGTGCATCCAGACACCAGAATAAGCCATGTGTGATAACAGGACTCACCATCTCTACCCGAACTGATCAGGCAGGAGCACAAGAAGGGGAAGAAAAGCACCAGATTAAATATATCTCTTCAACTGCCCTTAAAAATGATCTCTGAAGAGATGAAGCACAGATCCACCATGGCAAGAGCTGTGGAAACTGCTATAAGAGCCCTACAATACACATGGAAAGCAGTTTGTAGTGCCACCCTCCCACAACAACACTCCCAAAACAGGAGTAAAAATGTTCTTCAGTCTGCACGTTACCAGCTGTTTCCCAACACATTCCCTGTGTCAGGCCAGAGGCAGCACAAGGAACTCTGATGGGAGATATTCATAACCTCAAAGGACTCTGTGGCCATTTTAATACCGCATATTAATTCAAGGTCCAGAAGGTCTGCAACACCACATCCTTAGAATATACAAATTATCCTGGGCACAAACACTCTGGGCCCATCCTGCCTCCTGCTTCCCTCTAAGCATCTCCATTCCCCAGTCTGTAACAATTCCTCTCCAGAAGAGAATATAATTCCCTATCCAGTCCTCCTATGACATGACCCAGTGTCTTACAAATTATTTCAGGTTCCCTCAGAGGAGGCTTCCCAGTGGTCAAGGTCACCTTTCAAACCAGGACACAGCCAGGATCTGCTCAGTGTCACTGCCACATTCACCTCTGTGACAAGGCACAATTTTCTTTCCTACCTCAGGAGTCAATTAGACTTTTGCTTACCCTTCCCAACAGTGACAGTACTGTGAAATCCATGCAGATGGCATCACATACATGGTCTGGCAGACTCTGCAGGTGCATCTTAAGCTCTGGTTGTGAGACCTGAGACCAATATTTACTGTAGCAGTCATGTTGGGACAGCCCTCATGGCAATGGACACTGATGTCATGCTAAGAGAGACCGAGCAACACGGTTATGAACACACCAATACAGTGGCTGTGTACTGTGTAGAAGAAATTTGTTGTAGGATTTTTGTTGTCATTGTTTAGAATAGGATTTGCAGGGAACTTCTAAAGATGTTGCAGATGTAAATACTGAAAAACATACCAAAAAAAGGTCAGTGTCCATCAAGTCACCTGTTCAACCGGAAATGCAAATTAACAACTACAGCTGACAAAAACTGGGAGGGAAAAAAACCCATGAAAAGCCCACAAAGCCTTCCTAGTTTCCATACTGACAAGAGGACAGAAGTCCAAAGGATCACCTTGCCTTGCTGCTCTTGTAGAGAACAAATGACAGAACATGAAGACAGAGAACAAACCACACGTGATACCACCACGGTCAGCAGTCAGCAAAGACAATGAGGAGATACACAGCGCCTGGCAGACGGTAACCACCACAGCCAAACCTGAACACCTTCAGCAAGTTCGGGTGGAAAACCTACACAACCAGGAAGAAGAAATGCTACCGCCAAAACAGAAATCTCGAGACATTACAGGACAGCTCTCATCACAATCAGCAGAGATTTCATTCTAGGGCAGAATAACTCATATCCACAGCTCCAAATTAGAAGAGCGTACCCTAAGAGGTTAAGGCGACAGTCCCCCCGCCTCTTCCAAGACAAGGCAACAGATACAAAGGTGCAATTGACACATCTAAGCACCCGTCGCCTTCAGACTGCGGGGGCGGAGCCCGGCTAATAACGGAACCACTTCGGGAAACCAGAGACGAGAAGCAAAGCGGGAATGAATAGAGGCGAGCAAAGCAGTGTCCAGCACCTCCAGCACCACCTTGCAGTGACCCGACAGCGGGGGTGTCCCCTTGTCTCTCGCTTCCATACGAAAATTAAATATCTTGACTTCTTCGAAGTCTAGAGCGCTCGTAAGGAGAATTTCCCCAGAGTTATCAGTGCCAGCTATGGGATATCTGCGCCAATTATGGTATATCAGCGCCAGGGCGCGGTGCTCCAACCAGGGAAAGGCTGTTCCAGACCAGCTCTTCTCAGCGTGGAAACATAAGGTCGGTGCCTGCTGATCTGGTTCTTTATCCTTCTTCCCTTTTTTCCATTCTCTTCTTTCTTTGCACCAAGTGACCCAAGGGAGTCTCTCATATACAAAATCAAACCCATCAGAGTCCAGCAAGACAATACTCCAAGAACACTGCAAAACAAGCATGATGACATCACATTCCTCCTTTACCTGGATGGAGAACAATTCTGCCTCACTCATTTTTCACCTGCAGAGCTATTACAAAATCACAACGGCATTGTCACTGAATGCATCCTCTGCATGCCCAACACATCTACTCCTAGAAAAGCATTAAGGTCACTTCTCCATCTGCCTTTGCTTCCCCCTTCTCACCCTGTGCCAGGAAGCTGCAGAATCAAATAAGAGCACAAAATGTGCTCCAATCCTAGAAGAATTTCCATTCAGGCAATATTTATTCGGTCCTATGTGAAGATACCACAGCTGAACAGGCGATGCCTTGAGAGGCTCCCGGGCAATGAGAAGTTAGGCAGTGCTAAAGGAATAAAGTAGGAATTTATTAAAAAGGCCTTCACAGGATACACCTTGGGCAGTGCAAGAGCCCGACCACGGCTACATCCAAGATGGATGACAGGTCACAAGTTTCCATGCTTTTGTAAGTTTTGGTCCATTTCCATTTTGGGGTTCATTGTCCAATTACAGCTCCAGGTTATGCAGTCCCATCCTCCCAGTTTGTTCTCCTCAATTCCATGTTGTTTCCACTTTTTTGGCCTGAAGCTGCAGTGGTGTCATTGCTTCTCTAGACTGGAAAAGGGTTGTTTTGTATGACTGAGCTGTGAGGAGAACGTGCTAACACTTCATATGCAGTTCAGAGTAATATATTAATGCAGGACAGAATCTGGAAAACATGAAAGCTAAAAAAAAAAAAAAAAACCCAAGACTAGGATTAGTTGTTTTAAGGCACAGTGTCCCTTAATGCCAGATAGGAGACCAAGACCAGAGAGATGACTGATGCCATGTACCAAGAAAGGCTGGCAGAATGACACAAGTTTCAAAAAGTCTTCTGTTTTTCCAGGAAAATTCCACATCAAAGACAAGTGATTAAAGGCATGGATGGCAAATCGCTTCATAAGCTGTAATATCACAGGGAACAACAGAAAGCAAGAGTACAGAGAACTGCTGGAGGTCCTCAGAGGATCTCAGAAGAGCAGCATTAAGTGGTGGGCATTTTCACAAGGCACGGGACATGAGATCTCCACAGCTAACCAGGCTTTCTCCAGTTCCACCACTGCGATTCAGGTCGTGTTCTACTCAGCATCTGCATTTCCCTGGGGCAACACTCCTTCCCACTCAAAATCACCCTCCCCATTACACAGGCCCAGGCCTTATTTAGTTCCACACACAGGATCACTGCCAAAATATGGAACACTGCTCAACGCCAGCTACATGCCCTGTCTGAAAACCCCACTCCAGGCCCTTCTACTTCCTCATCTCCCTTCACAATCATCACAAACGATGTACAGAATGTCTAAAAGCTCTTCCCAGCTACATGATCTTCACCATGCATGCTTTGCTGCTTTTCAGTTACTCGGGTTGGAAATGTCACAGAGCTGCATGTTAGAGTTCATAAAGGTTCTGTGATTAGAGCTGTGACAGCTCTGATCCCAGTCCACACAGATTTATTTCTTCAAGAGAACACAGCAAGTGCCAAAGCACAAGAGCACTCACAGAGTGCCAACCATGAGGGACAACTTGCACACCATGAACTGGGCAAATCAGGCAGGTTTTGGGATGTTCTGGCAGATATCAGAACAATCCACATGTGACATCAGGACACACCATCTCTACTGAGGCCACTTCTGCACTGCACAAGTAAAGGAAGTTGAGCACATATAGATTACTCCCATGTGTAATAAAATAATTGCTTGTAAATCCCACCTGAGGAGGAGCAAGGAAAGATTACAGTAAAATCTACAGCTGTAGAGAGTACTGTAAAAGCCCACTACTACACAAAGACAGCAGCTTGTAACCTTCCCCAGCCACAATATCTTGAAACACTGAACCAGAAAAAGTTGTTTCTTTAGACAACATTCAGCACTCTCCATCTCACCAGCTCTTACTATCGCTGGCCGGGGTCTCTGTACAAATCACAAACAGGACGGGGCTGCTGGGGAACGCGTCTCGAGCTGTTGTATTTTCCAGCATCAGTCTCATTACATGGCTATGAGAATGGGAAGATGCCAGCAGCTCACATCTCCAGCAGCAAAGAACTTAATGTTACAACTTACTTTATAAGTTTTTTGACCAATCACAGAAAGCAAAAGCATATTGACAGTAGTTCTATCCAACCACCATAAGCACATGCAAGTTTGGTTAAAACAATGCTTGCTTATCTCAAATACAATACCTGCATATAAGCCTTAACACACGTTGCACAGAGTGCCGTTATGAAGCTTAGAACTTCCTAATATCTCGCCAGTTAGACTTTTCTGTAGCTTAGGGATGTATTCTAGACATGCATTAATACACAGACCATTGTTCATTTGTCCTTACTTTTCTACTCCTTATACCATTTTTCTGCTGACAAATCTTATCACCACTGTTTAGCTCTAATCACAGTTCTGTTGTCTCTGAGGCCTGCCTTTTGCAGCTTTCCCAAAAAACTCTGATTTTAAGCATCCCCACACTTTCCAACACATGGCCTACACCAGGCAGGCAGCAGCAGCAGCACAGACAGTCCCTGGTGGCGAGACTCCAAACTGCAAGGGACACCGTGGGCATTTCAGTTTCACACTCATCTCATTCTCAGCAGGGCCTCCCACTCCAGACCCTTAGGAAGTAGCAAAGCATCCTCCACAAGACCACTCTGCTCCCATCTTGTCTCACCCTTTCCTGGACAATTCCTTCACTCCCCCACTCTGAGACCTGTTCTGAAGACATATATATAACCTCATGATATTTTCTTATGACACAATCCATGGTGTCCCCAAGCATTTTCACTTTCCCCACACAAGTCTTTCTGCTGCTCATGGTCACCCTTCCCACCAGACAAGGGCCAGGACCTGCTCTATACAAACATCACAGTTTCCATTCCTACCACAAGGTTCAACATAACTGTTAGCATATTCTTCTCAGCAATGACACACCATAAAAATCCATGTTGATGATGGTATCATCAACACAGTGCATAAGAGATGCTCTGCTGTTGACACCTCATGTTTTCTAATGCTTATTTATGGGAATACTATTTTCAACCTTAAGAGTGGAACCTCTGAACAGCAATAGCACGGATTTTGTGCTTCAAGTTGAAAAAAAAAAACGTGGCAAGGGCACTATTTTAATACATGATTCGGCCTGTGTTGGAGAATGTTACTTGAGAATTGGTGGGGAAAGTTGATTCTTGGATTTTCGGGGCTATTTGTTTGTTTGTTCATTACAGAAGAGAAAATTTCCACCTTTATGTCCCTTTTAAGTCTAGATCACTGATAGAACTATTGATGCAAATTTTGAGAGAACATTTAAAAAGAACAATGTACTTCACACTACATCTCTTGCCAGAAATGCAAATCCTCAGGAACATGGGCAGCAGGAACACAGCAAATAAATTTCCCTTTTGGAAAACATACCTTGGGTCACACACTTCTCCCTGAATGCTAACCAGAACAACATCATACTTGCAAAAAGATTATGGAAAGGTAATGGGAAATATGCGCCACAACTAATCAATTTTCTAAATTACTCCACTTGTAGAATGATAATAGAGAATTTTTCTCCTTGAATATTCACTTTTCACATTGCATCATACCTTCACTTGACCATAATTAAAAAGAGGAGGGCAGTTTTCAACAAAAAGACAAATGAATATCAGCACGGTTATCAGTCAGCAAAGGCAATGAGGTCGCACACACCGCCGGCGAGACTGTCATGAACACAGCCTGGCTCTCTTGAACTCCTTCACTCACCTCGGGTGGAAATGCCACACATGAAAAACAGAACCCTTGGTTGTCTGCAAATCTCACTTCTCCAGGCACCTCATGCTGCACAGAATAGTAATTTTATTCAAAGGTACAACAACGCACTCTTAGAGGATCAAACCTCACCTGCCTACAGTAACTACTCGAGGATGCTGCCTTATCTATATTCTGGACCCACCCCAGAAAGAGCTGGGGGCTCCAGCAAGGTCGCCGTGACAGATGCAAACGTGCCATTGTCATTCTCAAGGACCCGCTAAGTACCCAAGATCCCTAAGCCGTGGGAACAGAGCCCGGCTTCAAACAGCAGCTTCTAAAGAGGGTGGATGAAAGGAACAGGGAAGAGCACGAAGGAAGGAGCACTGACCATGTCGAGGAGAGCGGAGGGCTCCGGCTGCGTGTCCTTGGGCGCGGGGCCGGGCGGCGGCGGAGGGGGGAAGTTGGGGCTGAAAACCATGAGGTCGCTCTTGGCGGCGCCGTCGGCCACGCACAGGCTCCGGCTGTGGCGCTGCGAGTACGACCAGCTGCCCACTTCGCTGGCGCACACGAGCGTGGTGGGCCCGGGCCCCGAGAGCACGGCCGCCCGCGGCGCCCAGCGCGACGCCCCGTACAGCACCACGGCGCCCGCGCGGTGCTCACCTCGCAGCTGTAGAGCCCCACGCGGAACAGGCCCTTGCCCCGCGGCGCCCACAGCTCGTAGCGCAGCCACGCGTTGTAGCCCGAGTCGGCGTCCACGGCGCGGATCTTGGCCACCACCTGCCCCGCCGGCGCCCCCCACGCCGCCCACGCCCACAGCGTGCCCGACCCCGAGCCCGCCCCCACGCCCGCCGCCGCCGTCTCGGCCGCCACGGCTCCCGCCTCCGGGGCCGAGCCCGCGGCCGGCAGCAGCGCCGGCGCGTTGTCGTTCTCGTCCAGCACGAAGAGCTGCACCGTGGCGTTGCCGCTCAGCGGCGGCTCCCCCGCGTCCACCGCGCGCACCTCGAACTGCAGCACCTGCAGCTCCTCGTAGTCCAAGGGCTGCAGCGCCCACAGGCGCCCGCTCTCCGCGTCCACCGACACGTAGCTCGACGCCGGACGCCACCCGCCGCCCGACCACGACGACGACGACCCCGCGGCCCCGCCGCCGCCGCCCACGCCGCCCTCCCACAGCGAGTAGCTGACGCGCCCGTTGCCCGCCTCGTCCGGGTCCCGCGCCCACAGCCGCGCCAGCTCCGCGCCCGCCGCGTTGTTCTCCCGCGCCAGCACCGTGTACACGGCCTGCGCGAAGGCGGGCGCGTTGTCGTTCACGTCCGACACCGGCACCCGCAGCCCGCGGCTGGCGCGCAGCGCCGGCGCCCCGCCGTCCTCCGCACGCACCTCCACCTCGTACTCCGACACCCGCTCCCGGTCCAGCGCCTCGCGCAGCACCAGGGAGTACGAGCCCGCGAACGTCGCCTCCAGACCGAACGGCGACGCCGGCCACACCCAGCACCGCACGCGCCCGTTCTCCCCCGAGTCCCGGTCCGACACGCTCAGCAGGGCCACCACTGTCCCCACCGACGCGTCCTCCGCCACCGGCACCGACAGCGACGTCACCCACACCTCCGGCGCATTGTCGTTCACGTCCAGCACCTCCAGTATCACCTTGCAGTGGCCTGACAGGGGGGGTGTCCCCTTGTCTCTCGATTCCATACGAAAATTAAATACCTTGACTTCCTCGAAGTCTAAGGCGCCCGTAAGGCGAATTTCCCCGGTATTAGGATTAATGGAAATCACATCTTTTCCACTCGGGGGAATAAAGTTCGTCACAGCATAGGTCACTTCACTGTTAATTCCCTCGTCCGCATCCGTGGCATTCACCCTCATCACCAACTTTCCCACAGCAGCGCTCTCCGGCAGCTGCACTTTATACACAGACTGGTTGAACTGAGGTGCATTGTCATTCGCATCCTCCACCGAGATCAGCAGCTCCATGGTGCCCGTCAGAGACGGCCGGCCCCCGTCACTCGCCGTCAGCACCAACCGGTGCACGGGAATCCAGCACCGAGATCACCAGCTCCATGGTGCCCGTCAGAGACGGCCGGCCCCCGTCACTCGCCGTCAGCACCAACCGGTGCACGGGAATCGTCTCGCGGTCAAGAGATTTCGTTAAAACAAGTTCGGGCTCCGTGTTTCCATCATTCGATTTTTGCAAATCCAGAGAAAAATGCTCGCTGGGGCTGAGTGTGTAGGAGAGCTGCGCGTTCGCTCCGATATCCGCATCCGACGCGCCCTCCAGTGGGAAACGAGACCCGGGCATCGTAGATAACTCTGCGATGCTGAGGTTTTTCCGGGCGGCGGGGAAGACGGGGGCATTGTCGTTGATGTCGGTGACCTCCAGCTGCACATGGAAGACGCGCAGCGGCCGCTCCAGCAGCACCTCCAGGCGCAGCGCGCACGGCGCGCTCTTGCCGCACAGCTCCTCCCGGTCGAGCCGCGAGCTCACCAGCAGCGCGCCGCTCGCCCCGCTCCCCTCCACGCTCGCCCGCCGGCCCGGAGCCACCAGCCGCAGCCGCCGCGCCTCCGCCTCGCCCGCCTCCAGGCCCAGGTCCTGCGCCAGACGGCCCACCACCGTGCCGGCCTTGGCTTCCTCCGCCACCGAGTAGCGCACCTGCCCGCCCGCCAGCGCCCAGGCCAGCGCCTGCAGCACCAGCACCCGCAGCACCGCCGCACACCACCGCTCGCCCATCCTCCCTGCCGCCGCTGCCGCTCTCGCCGCTCTTGCCGCTGTGGCTGCCGGCCCCGGCCCGGGCCCCGCACGGCTCCCCGCCGCCGCCCGGACGCACCGGCTCTGCTGCCCGGCCCGCGCCGCCCCCCCGCGCTCACAGCCGGGCTCTCCGCCGCACCGGGGCGGAGCCGCCCGCACCGAGCCGTTCCTGAGCCTGCAGCGACACCGTGCGCTGCTCCGCCACCGCACACCCATGGCAATAGCAGCCGTGCCGCTGCCTCGGATGGTCATATCCTCTGCCGTGTTTTGATCCACTTCTCCTGTTTTCTTCTTTGGTTTTTGTGGGTTTTTTGGGGTTTTCTCTTTGTTTGTTTGAGGGGTTTTTTTTGTTTTTGTGGTTGGTTTTTTTGGGTTTTTTTTTGGGGAGGGGTTTTGTTTGGTTTTTTTTGGGTGGGTTTATTCTATTTTTGGTTTTGCTTTTTGGGATTTTTTGTTTGTTTTTTGGGTTTTGTTTTGTTTTTTTGTTTTTTTCATGTCTTAGTGTTTGCTTGCAAATATACGTTTTCTTCCTCCATCTCCTTATTTTTTCATTTGGCTTTCTTGTTTGTATTCTCTGTCACCATCTCTCTGTCTTTCCCTTTCCTTTTTTTTCCTCCTCTCTTTACAGTATCATTCATCCTTTTCTTTCGTTATTCTTCTTTTTTGTATTCCGTTTTCTTTTCACTTTTGCCCCCCTTTCTTACTTCCCGATATTTTATTCCCGTTCTGCTCTCTTTCCATCATCCCCTTCTCTTCACTCTGCTGCCAGTTCTCAATTCTCAGGCGCCGCGGTGCCAACCATCCTGCCGAATACGGGCCATCAGCGCCGGAGGTGCTCTAACCAAGGGAGAGGCTGTTAAGGAACAGCTGTGTTCTGTGTCCATGGGTACAGTCCGTGCATGCTTCTTAGCTCCTTTTATTTTTCTTTCTTTGTATTCTTCAGTCCCTTCCTCATTACATCCTTCTGTCATTAATTTCTATCACGTTTCTACCATTTTGCTTTCCCTTACTCTATTTCCTTCTTTCTGTCCTCCTTTTCTGCCCTCCTCCCTTCCTGAGTCAAATGATACTGTCAGTGCCACGCTTGTGATCTCTCTTGTAT